TCCTAGTTGCCATTGGACAATTGCCTTTTCTCCAAATCTGGAGGTTAAAGTTTAAAAAGTATAAAACCAAAGGGTTTCTGTACTGGAGCTACAAATGAAGGTTTCAGTACCTTGCCAAAAACAGGTAATTAAGTGATCATGTGTATACTCAATACTGATACCAAGAATTCCCTAATAAAGGCCCACCCTAACCGTGCTATGTAAAGCTTAAAGTCAACATTCTCCACCAACAACTCAAAAAGCTCTTTAGTCCTTCAGTCTTTATCATGAGCAAACACCAAGCCTTATCAGATACTTAAGAAAAGTCTCTGTGAGAGAAAAAACAAATGAACTGGATATTCTGAAGGAAGTATAAAACTTAAACAAGGAAAATGATAATATTCTGAGAAAGGTAACAGAAGATATAGAATACATTAAAAACAATGCTATTTTTAAAAAGAACGTAAGAAAACCAGAAAGTGCTTGAAAATTAAAAATTTGATTGCAGAAATAAAAAACTCAATAGACTTTTGGAAGATAAAGTTAACGACATCTCTCATAAAGTAGAACTAACAGAGATAGAAAATAGGAGAGTAAAGATAGCTTAGAGGATCAGTCCAGGAGATCCAACATCTGCATAGTAGAAGGTCTAGAAAGAAAGACTAGAGGAAATGGAGTGGAGGAAATCGTTAATAAAACCATTCAAGAAAAGTTCTTAGAATTAAGGGAAATGAAGTCCATTAGAATTGAGATAAAGGATCCACCAACTAGATGAAAATAGACCCACACCAAGGCATTACAGTGTTATAGTACCGAATATGAAGGACAAAGAAAGCTACTAGTGAGAGGAGAACAGGTTATATGTAAAAGATTGGTAGTTGGAAACAAGTCAGTGGAGCAGTGTCTTTAAAATTCTGAAGAAAAAGTTATCTCCAAAGAATTCTCTTCCCAGCTAAGTTATCAAAGTTGTATTGAGACTGGTAAGATCTCAGAAAATGTTGCCTCCTGAGTACCATTTCTCAAAAGACCAGTGGAAAATATGTTTCACCAAGATCAAAGAAACCAAGAAAGTTGAAACAAGAGATCTAGCACAGGAGAAATGAGGGGAAATCCCAGGAGGATGGTGAATATAGATCCGTAAATGAGAGCTGTGCACCATGTATAGAAGATAACAAGTCCAGATTTGAGGAATGTAACTTCAAGAGACAAGACATTCTAAGGAGAATTATTTCCAAAATCTCTAGTAATACTATTCAGTCTTTTAACCTGAGGACAGAATGCCCAAGTGAACATCTCCTGATTCTCATCTGTACTTGTCTTGATCATCCACTGATAATGTTTCTCATTTTCCCTTCATTCCCTACTGCCTGGATCAACTGAGGAATTTATTTCATCCCATAAAAACATTTTGCCTTGATATACTGTGAACAAGTGATAGACCAGGGTGAGCTAGAGCAAAAAACGTGTAGTACTCTATTGCCTCTGAGCATTTTCCTGCCAGATGTCTGTTTCTCAGAACTTACTCAGGACCTTGCTTACTGGCTTTTCCAAAAGAGGATCCTGAAAACACCGTGAAGCTGGAATCAGATTATCCTATTTACCTGCTTCTGTTAATGGTGATATTGCCCTTTCATTACCCAGCTACGTTTGTGCTGGCTACTTTTTTCTAAAACAACTAGTAATATATTGTTTAGCAGTACATTCATAAGTAAAAAACTATAAAGAAAAGCGAGAAAATTATTAACACAAAAGAAATATGTTGGGGGAGGGGCAGAGATTAAATCATTTTGCAGCCACTGTAGTAAATAAGATGAGGCAATTTACTTCTGTAAAGATTTACAGCATTGGAAACCCAGTGGGGGTCACTATGTATTGGAATCACCTCCATGGCAGTGGCTATAGTAAATACTGATTCAAGTAAGAATTATCAGTGGATGTTAAATATAGCGGGGAAATTGTGATCAGAAGCAAGATATTTACATATGGTCTTAAAGGGTCTACCCCCAGGTTGCTTATTCATTCCAGAGAAAAAATGTGCAGTGTAGAAATTGAGCAATACCTGAATCTAATAATGAGAACATATCAAAATAATCCAAAATAAGAAACATTCTATTAAACAAAAAGACAGAGAATGGAGGGACTATATTATTCAAAAATGTCAGTGCTGTGAAAGACAAAAATAGTCTGAAGAACTGTAAACTAAAGAGATGTGATAGCTAATTGCAACACATGACCCTAGACTGGATCCTGTACTAGAGAGTAAAAAAGTATTATAGAGAAGTTTAGTGGATCGCTGATAAATTTGGAATCTAGACAGTATATTAAATAAGGTATTTTATCGATATTAAATTTAAGGAGGTTGATAACTATACTGTAGTTATATAAGAACCACATATTGTGTTATGTAGTATTACAGGCAGTGAGACTACACACTGATGTATTGAAGGATAAAGGGCCATGATGCATGCAACTTGCTCTCATGTTTTAGGGGAAAAAAAAGAATATGAATAAAATAGAGATCAAGTGATAAAGTAAATGGAACAACATGTTAATAGTAGGTGAATTTTGGATAAAGAATATATAGGAGTTCTTTGTGCTCTTCTTTAAACTTTTTTGTAAGTTTGAAATTATTTGCAATGAAAAATTAAAAGCAAAAATGCCTAACAATATGTGTAACATGATTATTATTCTTATTTTTTTCTTTAAAAAGTCCAGAAAGATTTTTATTAAAACCAACTAGTTTTTTAAATAGTTATTTCTTCTGGGTGATGCAGTTGGCGGCATAGAGGAAAGGGCTTAGACTACTGTACTACTTTTTTGCTTTTAATAGTGAAGGGTATTTTCTTTGGCTTTTTTTGATTTTTCAGATGGAAAATGGTGTTGGCTTCCATTTGTAGTTTGACCAATTACATATTGAGAGTTTTAGCAGTTCTTGAGGAGGACACTTTGCTCAGTAGGCTACTACTCTTACCTTTTCAAAACCACAGTGAAGTTCAGTAATTTCTTATAATGTTAAGTAGAAGGAATTAGGAGAAATTAGAAAATAATTCTCTGCTATGATGAAAAAATATTTTACTTTCTATAAAGGTAAAACAAAGAGTGTACTGCCAGTAGAGCATGTCTCTGGATTCTTTTGCCATATGAAAGAGAAATTACAGTGTGTGTAATCATCAACATATTAGCTGTGACCATGGCACAGAATTTTACTCTGAGTATGCTGGTTGGTTCATCACAGAACTAAACTTGGAATTAGCAGGGACTTCAGTCACTTAGCAAACTGGTCTAACACGTGATAGAAAAGAAAAAGTATGTATCTTTAAGTTTCATTTCTTCTTTTTTTCTGAATTCAGGAGTATATTATTCCATTACTTTTACTGAGGATAATCTGAATTTTTGCATCACATGCTTGAGATTTGTAAGCTGTTCATTCTACCTTTTGATTTGTTCCTTGTTTTCAGCATCATTCATCCCACAAATATTATATTATATTATCTTTTTTTGCCTAGTTTTATTTTAATGATCTGTGGGGATAGAAGATGTTAGATAATAATAAATATGAATTAATGAAAATTATAAACTTATAAGAAATGGCAAAAACTACTGACAAAAGAAATCTGTAATTTAGTGTTCTATCATTATACCAAGGATTTCGCTTAGAAGCTGATAAAGACTATATAAATATATAAACCTATATAATATATATAGACTATATAAAGACTACATAAAATATATAGACTATATAAAGACCTGCCTCTCTCATTGCATTTCACTTTGATTTTTTTTTCTTCCATGTAAATTTAAATCTTTCTTTTCATATTTCCATTTCATCTCCTTGTTTCTTGGTGTCTCTCTTCTCCCTGAAGATCACTACATTTCAAGCTATCAGAAAGGTACCCAACTAAAATATGCTAAAGAGCTTAATACTCACTGCCTGTACCGCCACAGCCTATCGGTTAGACTCTTTTTAGTTAGTAGTTGAATAATTCAAGACAGACTCTCCATCCTCTCTTTCTGTTTTAATGTAAATGTTTTATATGAACCTGCTGTATGACCCTCATGATACTGAGAGCTGGAGGGTGAGGAAGGAGAGGGCATGTTTCTTTTACTGACTTTTGAGTGCCATCACCTGGTGCATGCCTGAATCTTCTCATGTGTGGGCTGTTTGCTGAATCTTAGATGAGAAAAGGACAAAGTCTTGCTTTAACTTTTTTGATGTCACTTTATAAAATACCTTACCCATTTTCATAATTTGTACCACCTGTAATAGGAAATAAGGAGCCCTGGTGGCACAATGGTTAAGCATTCAGCTGCTAACTGAAGGGTTAGCAGTTTGAACCCACCAGCCCCTCTGGGGGAGAGAGATGTAACAGTCTGTTTCTGTAAAGATTACATATAGCCTTTGAAACCCTATGGGGCAGTTCTACTCTGTCCTATAGGGTTGCTATGAGTTGGAATCGACTCAGTGGCAAAGATTTTTTTTTTTTTTTTTTTTAATAGTAGAAAATAACTCAATGGTGTGTAAGTGAGGTTTAAAGAATGAAAGCAGCCCTCACTGAGTTCAGGAAAGCTAGCTGTACATGGAGTTTATGTACGTAAGAAAACTGCTTAAATAATCACTTGCCATTTGGCAGGCCAAACTCTGCATCCTAAGGTGACCCATAGCATTCTCAAAAGAGATCTTTGCTGTAGCACCTGTCTGTTTGTGTGAGGTTTCTTTATCAGTGCGTATTTGATTCTTCTCTGTGTTCTGCAGTTTCAGAACCTCAGGTAGGTTCCTATCTCTGATAGATCTGCTGAGTCTTTTTTTGTGGCCTCTCTATTTTTTTGTTTCATCCTTTTCTGCTTTTATTTTTCTCTTTTTCCTTAGAACTTCCTAGGATTTTTGTTTAAACAAATTTAGGCCTTAATTTCTTGTTTAAAAAACAATAGTTTCTTTAACTTAAGTCAGAAAGATTCTGCATTTTAAAATATCAACTTGTGAACACATTCCTTTAACTCATTTATTCTTTGTATTCTCAAAGGCGGCACTACGGTTCGTAAGGAGATCATCAAGAATAAAATCAGAGCCATTGGGAAGATGGCACGGGTCTTTTCAATTCTTCGGTAAGGAAACATCTGGTATTACAGTGTTCCATAAAAGCATTTTGAGAGTAAATTAAAAGTTAATTTCACAACCAAACAAACAAAAAAAAAAACCTTACTGCCGTCAAGTCAGTCCTGACTCTTAGTGACCCCTCCTTGGGTTTCTGAGACGGTATCTCTACGGAAGTAGATTGCCCAATCTCACTTCTGAGGAGTGGCTGATGGATGTGAACTGCAGCCTTCTAGTTAGCAGTCAGATGCCTTAGGCACTATGCCACCCGAGCTCCCAATTTCACAACAGTTTTTTGTTTTTGTTTTTTTAAGTGGAATTTGGGATTGGAATTGGGATTGGACTACTAGTCTACATGTCAAGTACAGATTGAATCAGACCTACATGTTAATGTGACTGAAAATGTTCTGGCAAACATCCATTTGGCTCTGGCTTAGAGCAGTGAGTACAGTGCTTTAGTGTAGATTTTGGAGCCAGAGTGTCTGTGTTAAAATACTGGCTCTGCTGCCTCTTCTTAGCTGTGTGATTGTGGGTTTAACATGTATGCCTCAATTTCCTCATCTGTAAGATAGAGATAATAATAGGACCCACCCCAAGCTTTTAGGATTAAATGGGATAATATATGGGAAACAGTAGAAAACCATCTGGCTGTTAAGTGCTTCTTAATGAAAATCAAGAACTGGCTGATTGTAGAAAATTGGAATATTTACAGAATATATTCCTTTCTTTTAGTCATGGAAGGGATGGGAATTAGAAAAATCTTCTGTTTCTGTCATTTTTTCTTACCTTCCTCCAGGTATCTTTTTGAACTGCTGAATGTTGGGGTCCCTGGGATTAATCCAGAGCTATGATCTTCCTTTGCAGGGAAGAGAGTGAGAGTGTGCTGACTCTCAAAGGCCTGACTCCAACAGGTACACTCCCTCTGGGTGTCCTCTCAGGAGGAAAGCAGACTATTCAGACAGGTAAGTATGAGAAAATGCTCCTTTGTTGGAAGCTGTTCTCCTGTTACCTAATAGTCAATGTCAATTAAAAATTGAGAGTTCTTTCAGTAAATGATACTGGAACATTTGGATATCCATATCGGGGAAAACAAATCTTGGCCATTACCTCCCTGAATAGATAAAAATTAAATCAAAATTGATTATAACTTAAATATAAAAGGTAAAACAATAGAATTTAAAAAAAACTGATTTAAAAAAAAAAAAATAGAATTCCTAGAAGAAAGTATGGATAGACAAAGAGTCTTTTAAATAGGACACAAAAATACTAAATGAAAGAAAAAAAAATTGGATTTCATTAAAATTAAGAACTTCTGTTCATGAAAGTATATGATTAAGCAAGGGAAAAGAAAAGCTGCAAATTAGAAGATTTTTGCAATACACATGTCTGACAAAAACTTCTATTCATAATATATAAAGAAACTCCTACAATCAATAAAACAAACCACCAAAAAAAAAAAAATGGTCAGAAGACTTTAACAAACATTTCACAAAGAAGGTATCAAAATGGCCAATAAGCATGAAAATGTGCTTAATATTATTATTAATATTATTAACAATAGTGTTATTATTATTATTATTACTATTGTGTTACTTATATCAGAAGTGGCTATTAAAACCACAGTGAGATACCACTACCTCATGTATCTCCAGTGGAGCAGCTGATGGGTTGAACTGCCTAACTTATGGTTAGCAGCTGAATGCTTTAATCACTCTTTTACCAGAACCCCTTATATATCTATTAGAATGTATAAAACTTGAAAGTCTGACAATACCCATTTTTGGTGAGGATATAGAGAACTGAAACTGTCGTATACTACTGATGGACTTATAAATTGGTTCAACTATTTTGGAAAACTGTTGGGCCATAAAGCTAAAAATGTACCCACTCTATGACCCAGCAATTCCACACTTGGTATAAATCCAAGGAAAATTAGTGCACATGTCCACCAAAGGATCTGTATAAGAATACTCACTGTAGCTTTATTCATGATAGTCCCAGATTGGGGGTAGAGGGTCGGGGGGAATGACTGTCAATAGGAAAATAGATAAATAAATGTTGTTGTATTTATACAATAAAATAGTATTCAGCTATTTAAAAGAAAAAAAAAAACATTATGGACACATGCAACAACATAGGTGAACCTCACATTATGTAGTTATGTGCCATCTAATCCGCCCCAACTCATAGCGACTCCTCCTTGAGTTGCCAAGGCAGTATCACTATGGAAGTAGATTGCCCAGTCTTCCTTCTGAGGAGTGGCTGGTGGGTTTGAACCGCCAGCCTTCTGGTTAGCAGTCAAGTGCCTTAGGCACTTTGCTACCACAGACATTATGGTAAACTATAAAAGCCAAACCAAAAGAGCACAGACTAAGTTATATGATGTTCAAGAATGGCAAACTGATTGATAGTGTGTAAGTCAGATGATCATTCCTCTGGTGGAGGAACATTGAATGGGAAGGGGACAAGGAACTTTTGGGATGCTATAAATGTTCTACGTCTTGATCTGGATTGTAGTTACAAATATGTATTAAAGATATAAAAATCTATCAACTTGTATACTTCATATTTGTGAACATTACATCCTTATTTGGATATATTTTATACCTTAATTAGAAGACTTTGTTGTTGTTGGAGTTTTCAGTCAGAGAGGTAGCCTGCAGCCATTTTCTTCTCCAGTGCCACAATCATACTCTTCAACTAGAGTGTCAGTTCTGAAAATGACATAGGAGCTGGCTTCTAAGGAGAGGATTTTATGGGATCCTGGAAAGAAAAGATTGCTGTTTATCAGAATAAACATAGATCTGGTCAAACAATTAGAGGAGACTTAAGATCACATCATTGGATAACTAGTTCTAGGCATGAAAACTAGAGTTGAAACATTAATATCTTAAACTAATGTTTTATTGCTTTCTCCCCCCTTGTTTTATTGAATGGTTTCTATTTGTTTTTTTGTTTTTAGGTTTTTTCCCATGTCATCCTGCCACTTATAGAAATCCTTTGCTTTTTTTGTGTGTTTGATTTGGTTGAAAGTTTACAGAACAAGTTGATTTTTCATTTAACAGTTCATACACATTTTGTTTCATGACTTTCATTGCAATCTCCATAATGTAACAGTACTCTACCCACTTCCTCCTGGTGGTTACCTTCTCCCTGTGTCCTTCTCTCCTATGCATTCCTGCCTTCTGAGCTATGCAAATGAGCTGTGCAAATGCTGCCCTTCTGATCTCCCTTGGTTGATTGTTCTAAGGAACATACCTACGGGTGTAGTTATTCAGCTCCTAGGCCTGTCTGTAGTTTGGCTGAGAGTTAAGCCACAGGAGTGAGTTCAGTCCTAGGCCCAAATGGTGACTAGGGGCCATAGTCTCAAGGGTTTCACTAGTATCTATCAGACAGACCAGTAGAAATCCTTTGCTTTTTTTTTTTATATAC